AATTTTTTGTTTGTTACAGGTAGGAAAACTTATGCAAAATCTTCTATTAACATTTTTAATCTTGGCAATGAAAAAAAAACTTATGAATTTATAACTAAATAATAATTTACAGCATTTAAAAAAAGTAGTATAGGTAGCTATTAATACCTGAAAAAGTATCAACATTATTTAATAATATTACCATAATAGGTACCATATGTTCATATGTTATCCATTATAGATAATTTTCATTTTAACATTTAGTAAACATTTTAAGTATCTAGGTTCATTTGTTTTAACTTTTAAGTTACAACTAATTATCAAAAATTGATTGATTAAAATTCTTTAATTTACCTACAAAAATCCAATATCATAAAAATTTAATGTTGCTCTTCGGTAAACTTTTTTTATTGATTAAGGTAGGTAAATTTGGAGGGGGGAGTCTTCTTTCAACATGTATAATGTTAGCTTTGAAAAGTAAACTATTTATGAATTTCTAACTGAAAAATATTTTGTTGAATTTTGTCAACATTTTAACTTTAATTGCATATAAAAAAAAATGAACTGACATTTATGAAACTCATAAAGTATCTTTTATTAAATGTTCAAGCTTTTTAACTAAGAGAAAAAGTATTTTAAAAAAAATTACAAATTTCCAGTGTCGTCTATTACAAGTATATAATAAAATATTTAAATATAATAGGCTGATGAAAGACTCTAAGACGGTCTCCGGACCAATTATATTTTCATTGTAGATATACGATGATTTGTCATTCAATTTAAATGTACAGTGACAAACTTACTGACTACTGCATGGCGAGGTATACTCGACACCTACTATACAGCAGGGTGACTTCCCTTGTTTCATACTTCGACATTATTACTAATTTATTGTATTCATTTTATCAATATATAAATCATTTAAATTGTTTTCAAGAATTGTAGTTTCATTGGTTAAGTGTTTTTCAAGTGTATTTTAAATAACATATTTAAAATGTACCTATGTAGTTAAGTTTTGTTATCGAGATATTAATTGAATCCAGTACCTACTTTGTATAAATTGGCAAACAATAAGTCCTTAATCCTTATTGAATATTAAAGTATTAGTAAATACACTTTGAATATTATTGTTTTGGTTGTAAGTAAACTTACTGGTTTCAATGCTTTTAAGTTTTAGTATGCAGTTGTGTAATTGAATATACTGTTATTATTGTGACTAAGAACGTGACCATCACTGCCCTTATCTTTCTTACTTGATGAACTTGAATAACATTACCTAATAATTTAATTTGTTAAGGCCGTTGTTGTGTCTTTGCTCAACTAATTTTATTGCTTTATGATTTATGCCAATAGAAAACTCATACCTATTTCATTACCTGAGAGGCTAATCTGCTGATAAGTGATAGGTACAGCTTTTAACGAGGAAAACGAAATAGTTTGTATAATTTTATATTACTTTTAAACGCAATTTGTCAGTCTTGGGATTTTTACTAAAGTAATCTGCAAACCTAAAACAAAACAAGGATGTATAGAGACTTCAATTTTAATAATTGTGAATACAATTTAATCAAGATACAACCTATGTATAAGAGTATAACTATTGCTTTATTGTAAATTTGTATTCAATGTGTAATTCCTTCTAATTTCCATAATATTCTATGACTATTGACCTTTTACTCAAAAATATATTTAATTATATTAGAACTGATTGGTACATCACTTGTATTCTTACATTTGCATACCTACATTTATATTAAAATTAGCTTTGTATTATCTACGTAAAATATGACAATAGGATTTTATGCAACGTGACAACTATTACAAATTTTTTATCACACTGTTGCAAACATTATATTACATATTTTACAATAGGAAATAGGAACAAACGACGTTTATA